TCTACCAAAAATACAAAAATTAGCCAGGCGTGGTGGTGCTTGCCCATAATCCCAGCTACCCTAGAGGCTGAGGTGGGAGGATCGCTTGAACCCAGGAGGTGGAGATTATAGTGAGCCGGGATCGCACCACTTCACTCCTTCAGGAAAAAAAAAAAAAAAAGTTGAAGGAGTAGTAAATTCATGAATTCTTTTTTTTTTTTTTTTTTTTTTAGACGGAGTCTCATTCTGTCACCCAGGCTGGAGTGCAATGGCGTGATCTCAGCTCACTGCAACCTCTGCCTCCTGGGTTCAAGCACTTCTCCCTGCCTCAGCCTCTCGAGTAGCTGGGATTACAGGTGTGAGCCACTGTGCCTGGCTGTAAATTTATACATTCTGGTGGTGGCAGTAGTGGTGCTTCCAGGTGAAGAAAAGTCAGATTTGAAGTAGGTTGAGATTTGAAGGAGAGTCAATTGGAGATTGCTTGGGAGACAAGTAGTGGGAATAAATGGCACTAGATTGGAGCTCCCAAACCCATGTATCACTGGGATTATCATTTCTAGGAAGAAAGAAGGAACAGTATGTATAAAGATATGGAAGAGGCCGGGCGTGGTGGCTCAAGCCTGTAATCCCAGCACTTTGGGAGGCTGAGACGGGCGGATCAGGAGGTCAGGAGATCGAGACCATCCTGGCTAACACGGGGAAACCCCATCTCTACTAAAAAATACAAAAAACTAGCCGGGTGAGGTGGCGGGCGCCTGTAGTCCCAGCTACTCAGAAGGCTGAGCCAGGAGAATGGCGTGAACCCGGGAGGCGGAGCTTGCAGTGAGCTGAGATCCGGCCACTGCACTCCAGCCTGGGCGACAGAGCAAGACTCCGTCTCAAAAAAAAAAAAAAAAAAAAAAGATATGAAAGAATGAAACCTTAGGGAAAGGTAAAGTTTCTTTTTGTATCAGAGGTAATAACTGCAGTGATTTGCCACTTTTAGTTACTAATTCACTAAATTTGACAAGCTGATTCAGGACAGTTATTCTTCGCAAGGGACTGGGCGGAAAATACCAGAATGAAAGAGTTTTTGTTTGTATTTTAATCTGTTTATAGAGAGGAGGTCTTGCCATGTTGCCCAGGCTGGTCTTAAACTCCTGGCCTCAAGGGATTCTTCCGCCATGACCTCCCAGAGGACTAGGATTACAGGTGTGAACTACTGTGCCCAGCCTTAAAGAGGGATTTTCTTTTAAGTTAGTTTTAAGTTTTTTGTAGAGACAGGGCCTTACTCTGTTGCCCAGGTCAGTCTCAAACTCCTGGCCTCAAGCAATCCTCCTACCTAAGTCTCCCAAGTTGCCAGGATTACAGGTATGAACCACACTGAACCCAGCCAAGGGTTTTATTTATTTATTGAGACAGCATCTTGCTCTGTTGCTCAGGCTGGAGTGCAGTGTCTGAATATCAGCTCACTGCAACCTGCGCCTCCTGAGTTCAAGTGATTCTGGTGCCTCAGCCTCCCAAGTAGCTAGGACTACAGGTCATGTACCACCATGCCCAACTGGCTAATTTTGTTTTAGTAGAAACAGGGTTTCGCCATGTTGCCCAGGCTGGTGTTGAACTCTTAGCCTCAAGCGATCCACCTGCCTCGGCCTCCCAAAGTGCTGGGATTACAGGCGTGAGCCGCTGCGCCCAACCCTGCCAAGGGTTTTTTTTGTTTGTTTTGTTTTGTGTGAGACAGAGTTTCACTCTTGTTGCCTAGGCTAGGTGCAGTGATGCAATCTTGGCTCATTGCAACTTCCGCCCTCTGGGTTCAAGCAATTTTTCTGCCTCAGCCTCTTGAGTAGCTGGGATTACAGGTGCCCACCACCACACCCAGCTAACTTTTTGTATTTTTAGTAGAGATGGTGTTTCATCATGTTGGTCAGGCTGGTTTTGAACTCCTAACCTCAGGTGAGCCACCCGCCTTGGCCTCCCAAAGTGCAGGGATTACAGGCATGAGCCACCGCGCTCAGCCCTGGCCAAGGGTTTTAATAACCAATGGTTAATACAGTTTTATGATACTCTCTGAGCAAGAGTAAAACCTGATTCCCAAAAACCCACTTAATCCTATTTCTTTTTTATGTATTAAAAATGTTTTAAAAGGATAATAACAACACTGTAACATTCGTCTATGTATCCACTACCCAAAATGAATAAATAGTATCATACCTATTTTCCTCCCTTTCTCCTTCCCTTTAGGCATCGCTTTTTTATTAGCCTGCTTTCATTTTTTTTCTTAATTTTTAATTTTTTAATTTTTTGAGACGGAGTCTCACTCTGTCACCCAGGCTAGAGTGCAGTGGTGCAATCTCAGCTCACTGCAAGCTCCGCCTCCTGGGTTTCAGGGATTTTCCTGTCTCACCCTCTGAATAGCTGGGACTACAGGCTCATGCCACAATGCCTGGCTAATTTTTGTATTTTTAGTAGAGATGGGGTTTCACCATGTTGGCCAGGCTGGTCTCGAACTCCTGACCTCAAGTGGTCTGCCCGCCTCGGCCTCTCAAAGTGCTGGGATTACAAGCATGAACCACCGCACCTGGCCTAGTCTGCTTTTAATTCTTTGACTATTGGCTGGGCGCGGTGGCTCAAGCCTGTAATCCCAGCACTTTGGGAGGCCGAGACGGGCGGATCACGAGGTCAGGAGATCGAGACCATCCTGGCTAACACGGTGAAACCCTGTCTCTACTAAAAATACAAAAAACTAGCCGGGCGAGGTGGCGGGCGCCGGTAGTCCCAGCTACTCAGGAGGCTGAGGCAGGAGAATGGCGCAAACCCGGGAGGCGGAGCTTGCAGTGAGCTGAGATCCAGCCACTGCACTCCAGCCCGGGCTACAGAGCAAGACTCCGTCTCAAAAAAAAAAAAAAAAAAAAAAAAATTCTTTGACTATGATGTATTTACACACACATACATATATACATACATACATCTATACACACATACATATACATAGATATGAACATTTACATATATATGGTATATGGTATTTCTTAATGTTTTAAAAATTCATGTAATTTGTTTCGTGTGGCACTTATTTTCCTGCATCTTGCTTTGTTTCCTTAACTTCGTTTTCATAATTTGTTCATCTAGATTAAGTTCATTGATTTATTTTATTTTCTTAATTTTTAAAATTATTATTATTATTTTTTAAGACAGAGTCTCGCTCTGTCACCCAGGCTGGAGTGCAGTGGCACAATCTTTGCTCACTGCAGCCTCCACCTCCTGGGTTCAAGCGATTCTTCTGCCTCAGCCTCCTGGGTAGCTGGGATTACAGGCGCATGCCACCACACCAGGCTAATTTTTGTATTTTTATTAGAGACAGGATGTTGCCATGTTGACCTGGCTGGTCTCAAACTCCTGACCTTAGGTGATCCACACACCTCAGCCTCCCAAAGTGCTGGGATTACAGGTATGAGCCACTGGCCCAGCAAGTTCATTCATTTAGCCTGCTGAATGGTGTTTCATCACATGAATACACCCCAATTTGCTTATCCATTTGCTACTGATTGACATTTACATTGTTTTTAGTGTTTCATTATTAGAAACACTACATTTCAGGGAATATCCTCCAACAGGTCTCCTAGGGCTAATTAATGGATGAGAGTTTCTATTAAGGAATGTTTTTAGAGGTGTTTTTTCTTTTTTTTTTTTTTTGAGACGGAGTCTGGCTCTGTCGCCCAGGCTGGAGTGCAGTGGCCGGATCTCAGCTCACTGCAAGCTCCGCCTCCCAGGTCCACGCCATTCTCCTGCCTCAGCCTCCCGAGTAGCTGGGACTACAGGCGCCCGCCACCTCGCCCGGCTAGTTTTTTGTATTTTTTAGTAGAGACGGGGTTTCACTGGGTTAGCCAGGATGGTCTCGATCTCCTGACCTTGTGATCCACCCGTCTCGGCCTCCCAAAGTGCTGGAATTACAGGCTTGAGCCACCGCGCCCGGCCTAGAGGTTTTTTTTGAAACCACTATGGAAATATGTTTTATATTAAGACCCAGTTCATAGATGAAATAAAAATTTTACAAAATAATACCTGCCCTTGCTATATGCACTCTATTTCCTACTCTCTTGCATTCTGTCCTATTTCATTTCATTTTTGTAAAATGCTGGACATGACTCACTACATTGATTTTATGACTCACTAATGGATTGAAAAACGATGCTGTAAGGCATTTATCTGGAAGTAGACTTTCTAGATCAAAGAATAAGTGCATTTTCAACTTGAGTAGATATTATCAAGTTGCTTTCCAAAGTGGGTGTATCAGTTTTACAGGATATCAGAGTCCTAATTTTTCCACGTCCTCACCCACACTTAAAATGGTCAGGATTTTAGATTATCGATAGTCCTGTAGATGTGAAACAAATACCATTGTCAGTTTAATTTGGAAAAAATTAGCCAGGCGTGGTGGCATGTGCCTGTAGTCCCAGCTACTTGGGAGGCTGAGGTGGGAGGATCACCTGAGCCCAGGAAGTCAAGGCTGCAGTGAACTGTGATTGGGCCACTGCACTCCAGCATGGGTGACAGAGTCTCAAAAAGAAAAAGAAAAAAAAGTTTTTTAGATGGTAGTTTTAAATATTTATAATAGTCAATTTAGTCAAAATGATCAATTTTTACTTCTGCTTTTTCATAATTTTATTGTTAAAATTTTATGTTGATTATAAAAATACTATATATTTTTTCAAATAATTTTGCTGTTGTTGTTGTTTTTGAGACAAGGTCTCACTCTGTCACCCAAGCTGGACTGCAATGGTGCAATCTCAGCCCACTGCAACCTCCACATCCTGGACTCAAATGGTCCTCCTGCCTCAGCCTCCCAAGTAACTGGACTACAGGCATGAGCCACCATGCCTGGCTAATTTCTGTATTTTTTGTAGAGACAGGGTTTCACCATGTTGCCCAGACTGGTCTCACACTCCTGGACTCAGGTGATCCACCTGCCTCGGCCTCCCAAAGTGCTGGGATTACAGGTGTGAAACACTGTACTCGGCCTTTTCAAAAAAAAATTTTTTTTTTTAAATACGGAATGCTTCATGAATTTTTGTGTCATCCTTGCACAGGGTCCATGCTAATCTCTGTTTTGTTACAGTTGTAGTATATGTGCTGTCAAAGTGAGCACCAGATAATTTTGAAGTTGGTTCGTATTTTGTTTTGTTTTGTTTTTACAACTTTAGATATTTAATTGCCCTGGAGTTTATTTTTGCCTGTCGTTTTATGTCTTCCGATACTTCAGCCCCTCATTATGTGATTCTTCACCAACTTTGGGACTCTGCTTCTCATCTCCTCCCTCGGAGTGTTTTTCTTGAAGAGAAGGGGAATACAAAAGGCCCCAGGCTTAGAATAGCTCTTAGAAGGCCTTTAAAGAAGCAAGTGGGAGGGCCGGGCACACCCAGCCAAGAAATAGCCTTTGATTTTTGTAATTGCAGTCATCAAAAAGCATCATCAAAGAACTTTTATCAGACTGGGTGCGGTGGCTCACGCCTGTAATTCCAGCCCTTTGGGAGGCCAAGGTGGGCGGATCAACTGAGGTCAGAAGTTCGAGACCAGCCTGGCCAACATGGTGAAATCCTGTTTCTACTAAAAATACAAAAATTAGCTGGGCATAGTGGCGTGCACCTGTAATCGCAGCTACTCGGCAGGCTGAGGCAGGAGAATTGCTTGAACCCGGGAGGCTGCAGTTAGCTGAGATCACGCCACTGTATTCCATCCTGGGTGACAGAGTGAGACTCTGTCTCAAAAAAAAAAAAAAAAAAAAAAAAAAAACCAGAAAAGTTTTTATCAGTGATTGCTTGCAATGGGCAATTAAGGTAGACACTGAACTAAATTTAGAATGTATTATTCACAAATATAGTCTAAGAAGTTATACTCTGAAAATTAATAAAGCAGATAAGCAAAGGACAAACCATATAATAATAAAAAAGGTAGAGCAATCTAGAACTACTGTAGATAGTAAAGAATTAACATCAAACACATCAAAGTGCAATTCAAGGATAAAGGCATCACTGGGTGACGAGCAGTGCTTAGTATGTATTTGTTACAGGGGTTCCAAGTTCAGGGAAACTGTCATCAATCAACTAGGGAAGGTGGGTCTCTTCTGACTTCTCCCATCCTCTCCTCTTCCATCCTCCACACATGTGCCCCACTCCGAGCTTTTTCTCCTCCAAGCAACATAAGCCTTACTAACGCTTGAAATCAGAGGAGGTTTTTCTTTGTGTTAGTACTCAGCTCTCAATAAATGGACCTTTACCCAGCATCAGCAGGAACCACCCTCAGGAGCCACTTTGTGCTGCCTGGCACGTCCACAGCAATTAGAGCAAAAGGACAGAGTTAAGGAAACTCTTTGAGGAAAATTTTCCCCACCCAACTTTGGCAGGGTCACCTGGGAGCCCTCTCATCAGTATTGCTATTCACTGTGGTACCCCCATTGTTCCACTAGCACCATGTACTGAACTTCCTCTGTGTTCAATTCCTATAAAAGAAAGGAAGCCCTTGCCTCAAAGTGCTCTCATTTTTATTATTTTTTATTTTTTGAGATGGAGTCTCACTCTGTCTCCCAGGTTGGAGTGCAATGGCATGATCTCAGCTCATCACAACCTCCGCTTCCCAGGTTCAAGAGATTCTCCTGCCTCAGCCTCCCTAGAAGCCGGGATTACAGGGGCTCGCCATCATGCCCAGTTAATTTTTGTATTTTTAGTAGAGATGGGGTTTCACCATTGTTGGTCAGGCTGGTCTCCAACTCCTGATCTCAGGTGATTCCCTGCCTTGGCCTCCCAAAGTGCTGGGATTACAGGCATAAGCTACTGCTCCCACCCACACTCTCAATTTAAATACATTTGCACATTCAACAAGACTCATAAATGTCTTACCTAGCTGGATCAATATTAGAAAGGCCTCAGGGATTTTGCGGTTCAATATCACTGTCATAAAAATTGTTTCAATGTAGAAAAAAAGGTTAACATATTTCTTTTTTTTTTTTTTTTTTTGAGACGGAGTCTCGCTCTGTCACCCAGGCTGGAGTGCAGTGGCCAGATCTCAGCTCACTGCAAGCTCCGCCTCCCGGGTTCACGCCATTCTCCTGCCTCAGCCTCCCGAGTAGCTGGGACTACAGGCGCCCGCCACCTCGCCCGGCTAGTTTTTTGTATTTTTTAGTAGAGACGGGGTTTCACTGGGTTAGCCAGGATGGTCTCGATCTCCTGACCTTGTGATCCACCCGTCTCGGCCTCCCAAAGTGCTGGGATTACAGGCTTGAGCCACCGCGCCCGGCCAGGTTAACATATTTCATACATACTCATTAAGAAATGTACATGGGCTGGATGCAGTGACTCACCCTTGTAATCTCAGCACTTTGGGAGGCCAAGGTGGGTGGATCACTTGAGGTAAGGAGTTCAAGACCACCCTGGGCAACATGGTGAAACCCCATCTCTACTAAAAATACAAAAGTTACTCAGGCATGGTGGCATGCACCTGTAATCCCAGCTACTCAGGAGGCTGAGGCAGGAGAATTGCTTGAACCCAGGAGGCAGAGGTTGCAGTGAGCTGAGATTGCACCACTGCCCTCCAGCCTAGGCAACAGAGTGAGACTCTGTCTCAAAAAACAAAATGAAAAGTGGCTGGGCACGGTGGCTCACGCCTGTATTCCCAACACTTTGGGAGGCTGAGGCGGACGGATCACCAGGTCAGGCGTTAGACCAGCCTGGCCAACATGGTGAAATTCTATCTCTACTAAAAAAAAAAAATAGGCCGGGCGCCGTGGCTCAAGCCTGTAATCCCAGCACTTTGGGAGGCCGAGACGGGCGGATCACGAGGTCAGGAGATCGAGACCATCCTGGCTAACACAGTGAAACCCCGTCTCTACTAAAAATACAAAAAACTTAGCCGGGCGAGGTGGCAGGCGCCTGTAGTCCCAGCTACTCGGGAGGCTGAGGCAGGAGAATGGCATAAACCCGGGAGGCGGAGCTTGCGGTGAGCTGAGATCCGGCCACTGCACTCCAGCCTGGGTGACAGAGTGAGACTCCGTCTCAAAAAAAAAAAAAAAAAAAAAAAAAAAAAATATATATATATATATATACACACACACACATACACACACACATATATATATATAAATTTGTCAGGTGTGGTGGCCCACACCTGTAATCCCAGCTACTCAGGAGGCTAAGGCAGGAGAATCGCTTGAACCTGGGAGGCAGAGATTGCAGTGAGCCAAGATCGCAACCACTGCCCTCCAGTGTGGGTGACAGAGCTAGACTCCATCTCAAAAAATAAGATAAACAAACAAACAAAAAACAAAAGTCACTGAGTGAGGTCTTTAACCATCTCTTCTGAAATAGTCCTGATCTCCCACCTATAGCTCTTGCTGCTCCATTTCCTGATTTTTAAATTTGTTTTTTAATAAAATTTAATGATCTGTACTTATTGATGTGTACTTATTGACTAGTTGTTATCTGTCTGCCCCACAGAATATAGGTTTTCAGAGAACAGGAACTTTTTATGTCTTTATCATTGCTATATCCCACTGCCCAGAATCAGTGCCTGGAACATAGTAGATCCTCTACAAATAGTGCACTTGTTAAGTGAATGAAACTGAATTAAATGAACATATATGCTATATATCCTTACTGCATTGATTGGTATATGAGAAAATTAAACAGAAGAAACTAACAGCAAGATAAGTAGTGTCCTAGACTCCAAGAAGTCTTTCCAGACTAATCCTATTCAGCATTAGAAGTACAGTCATAGGCCGGGCGGGGTGGCTCACATCTGTCATCCTAGCACTTTGGGAGGCCGAGGCGGGCGGATCACAAGGTCAGAAGTTCAAGACCAGCCTGGCAAACATGGTGAAGCCCCATCTCTCCTAAAAATACAAAAATTAGATGGGTGTGGTGGTGGGCGCCTGTAATCCCAGCTACTTGGAAGGCTGAGGCAGAATCACTTGAAACCGGAAGGCGGAGGTTGCAGTCAGCCGAGATCGTGCCACTGCAGTCCAGCCTGGGCAAAAGAGTGAAACTCTGTCTCAAAAAACAAACAACAAACAAACAAAAAAAACAAAAAAGAAAATACAAAAATTAGCCAGGCTTGATGGCGCGCACCTGTAATCCCAGCTATTTGGGAGGCTGAGGCAGGAGAATTGCTTGAATCTGGGAGGTGGAGGTTGCAATGAGCCTAGGTCGAGGCACTGCACTCCAGCCTGGGTGACAGAGTGAGACTGTCTCAAAAAAAAAAAAGTGTAATCATTCTGAATCTCTTACTCTGCCCCTTGAGAAGACTCCCCCACCAACCTCTTTTTCAGTTTAGGTGACTCAAGCAGGGCTGACCCCACCCTGCCTCCAAGCATCAGCTTGTGTCCCAGGCACCCCATGGCCACTGTTTTTGGTTTGGGACTGGCTCATGACTCAAGCTAGGTAGCAGGCAGAGCTTTCTGTGTTAGTCTGGAAAGACTTCTTGAAGTCTAGGCTAGGACACTACTCATCTTTTTTGTTTTGTTTTGTTTTTGTTTTTGTTTTGAGACACAGTCTTGCTTTGTTGCCCAGGCTGGAGTGCAGTGGTGCGATCTCACTTCAACCTCTGCTTCCTGGGCCCATGTGTTCCTCCCGCCTCAGCCTCCCAAGTAAGTTTCCCTGGGACTTTTGCTGGAACTATAGGAAAAAGGATCAAGTCAGCCCAGTGCAGATGGTGGTCATTGTTCTACCATGCAGGGAAACCTCCCTGAGAACAAAACCACACTGATTCTAAAGCAGAGACTAGAGAGTGAGAAATAGAAAGAAAGAAACAGGGCCTGGTACAGTGGCTCTAGCCTGTAATCCCAGAATTTTGGGATGTTGAGGCAGGAGGATCGCTTGAAGCCAGAAGTTTGAGATCAGCCTGGGCAACAAAATGAGATCCTGTCCCTTTTACAAAAAAAAAAAAAAAAAAAAAAAAAAGAGAAGGAGAAGGAGGGGGTGAAGAGGAGGAGGAGGAGTGGGGGGAGGGAAAAAAAGGAAAGGGACAGGTGGACAGTGGCCTGGTGATATCTGGGTCCCCAGCTTCAGTCCTGCCTACAGTGAGCTGTATTGTTGGGTTTTTCAGTTTATGTGAATGATTCAGCTCCTTTTGAACACAAGCAGTTTGAATTGGGTTTCT